AGCTTACGAGCTCAATGCCACAATGATAACTATACTATACTACATGCATTCACTAGATGAGCTAGTAGCATAGGTATGGATACATATGAAATGTTGATATGCATCATGGTGTGGCTGAGGGTTTTACATCTCGAAGCTCACACACCCCTCTAGCCTTTCTAAGATACCCTCAAGTATCTGGGGTGAGATCAGAAACTGCGTCAGAAATGTACACCTAACTAACTTACTTTGTCGAGTCTTGGGGCATCTGCGTCCAGTCAGCTACTGAGGTACCTTGAAACTGACTAGGATATCCAACTGATTGTCATATTCTTCTAAAGAGACTCGGGTGTCTTAACTGTTTCCTGAGCGTCAAACAAAGCTAGTTTTATGTTATCATAGTTATTAATATTTCTAGTTGTTCTGAGTTTATCATTGTTCTCACTTTTAGTTTTATTTATTCTGATTGTTATTTGGTCCCCTAATTCTACCCCCTAAAGCTCTTGGGCTCCTTACCCAAAAATATTCGTGAGTACTGATACTAAGCCTCTAGTATCGGTACTGGCCTCTGGGTATCGATACTGCTAAGTAAATAAAGGTTGATAACAAAAGTTTGGTATCGATACTCCTTCTTGAGTATCGATACTTATGGTATGTGGTATTGATACTTTCTTGAGTACCGATACCAAATTTGGCTTCGATGTTTTGAAAAAATACCTAAGTATCAATACTCTACCCTTTGTATCGATACTATCAAGAGTATTGATACGAATTTGGATACTTTAATCGACTAAGTAAATTTGGTATTAATACCACCTTGCAAGTATCGGTAACTCATTTACAATATTGATACCCATATACTATTATGCCCAAAACCTCTTATTTTTAACACTTGTAGAGTATTGTCGATATTGTTCTTCTAGTACTTATACTCGTGCCCAAAAATGCTCTCTTTTGGACACGAAAAATATAACTTTCCTTCCCAAAGTCCCTATTGAGATTCCCAATTATTATTAAAGTGTTATGTTTGAATACAGGGGGTCATAATAAGGTTGTAAACATGTTGAACTATGAACATGCTTCATAACTCATACAACCTACCAAAACACATCTGATGACCTACATGTGGTAGAGTTGAGTTAGGAGTGAGTTATCTTTGATTTAGTTGTTGAAAATAACACCTCAAGATCACCCAATCACAAGTTTTTCCTTGTTCTTGCTCTTGAAGCTTTCTCCAACCTATCTTATTAGACAATAATTAACCACGTGTTACTAACGTCAATGGGGACTTTAGAGAAGGATTTTAGAACATTTCTTGAGGCTTGAATCCCTAAAAAAATAAGATGGTTTCTCTAAGTTCCTAAAACCCCTCTAAACCCATATTTCGAGAACCACGATAGAAATAAGAGATTGAAGGCTTGAAATGAAGCTATGGAGATGAAGATTATGATTCTTACCTTTGAAATGCCAAACTAGAGTTGCAAGGTTACCAGGTTGTCACTTTTGTCTAACTTATTAAGGGAGAAAATGGAAGTTTTGGGAGAGGAAGAATACAAAGGGATATGAGGAAAGAGAGAAGGGTTCAGACGTGAAGTCGTCACCCTTAATTGGGAGATCAACCTTTGAAATAAAAAAAAAGTAAAATTTCTCTTTTGATCATCCAAATTTTAGCCTTCAAATAAAGACACCCCTTTTTATCACATGGTAGGCCAAAATCAAGCCTAACCCAAAACTCCCTTAACCCAAGCTTCTCTACAAGGCTAATGAGTTTATCTAAACCCACTTGGGTTAACCCGAAAATATTAACCCAAGATCCAGGGCATTACAATTTTACATTTTGGAATTTGAATAACTTGAAAATAATAGGTAGTATCAACACTACTAATAGAGTATCAATATTTCTCTTACATGTGGTATCGATATTGGTATCAATACCTCAAGAATAATATCAGTATTGTTCATGTGGTATTGATATTGTAAGAACAATATCAATATTGCTTATTTATAAAACTGTTTTGTGTTTAAATTTTTGTTTAATGGACTATAAATTATTTTTGAAAACTTTGATTCAATCAAGCCCAAAAACATTTTTCCTTTAATTTTGTATATCAAAATAGGTTCAACAAAATTATTTTATGAAAATTTAATGATCATTTATGAATTTTATCATATTTTACGTTAATGATGTACATCGATGTATATCAATAGTGGTGGATATTAGTGTGTGACACCCATTCTAGACTCATCCCTTTATATATCTGAAGTGATCTATTTACATTAGTGTAAAATTAAGGGGATTTCATTATTTTCATAAGTTTTTCTATTATTCATGTTTTAGCAATTCAACCATTGAATCTATTAATATCATTGTATTTATCATACTTATAAATTTTTAAACCAATTATAGATATCTCTAATATGTTGATTCCAATTAATGTATTTATCCATATATATTTAACGGTCAATTTTTTTTACAAAAATAAATAGTTAAATGTTTCCAATTTTTTTCAAATTTAACAGTTTAATTATTAAAATAACTATAGTAAAAAATTAATTAAAATGATTAAAACTCACTAAATTTTATACTAGTATCAGAGATTTCTTTCCTACACAATTTTATGGTTTATATAAAACAAACCTTTCTAATTGTGAACTTGGTCTTCATTTGTTCCCGTTCTTTCCACTCTTCTACTGTTGTTAAATATAGTTTCTCATTTGCTTCATCATTTCGGAGGTAGGGAGAAATATCAAAGTCAATGTTAGTAGCTGTAATTTTGAAACACATATGAATATCTTTTTTATTTGCACCTAAAAACTTGGTGTCAATAATTTTATGTCGATGTCTAAATATTATAATAATTAAAAATTAAAAAATTTACAAACTATAAATTTAAAAATTTATTAAAAAATAAAGTTAAAAATTTACCTTGCAACCATAAGAAACTAAACTAGAGCTACTGTAATTGACGTAAAAATGGGAACCAATACCAAGCCCACAAATATAACAAGACTAAACAACCCACAATATTGACTTTTTGACATCTCTCGACAATTGTAGCATTGCAAAGTTCCCGATATAAAAATGTCAAAATCGCCGAGCTCCAACTAGTGTTGCAACAGTCAATAAAATTATCCAATATCAGAAGATACTAAAGTGCATTAAATTACCAGATTTATCTGATAACAATATCCCTCCAATCAATTGGAGTAGATACTCGAGATGCAAATATGAGCTCCTCCTCGTTAGAGTCGTTAGTCAAATTAAATTCAGACTCCAACCAAGTGATATGTATTCGGTATTCCTCTAAGACCTCTACTGATGGCATCTTTCCCAAAACTTGGTGAACAATAGCTAATCGGTTGAAATCGTTCTGCCTCACTAGTATCACACCATTAACTGAAACATCGAGTTGGTAAGCGACATCTTCCAACGTAATCGTTGCTTCACCACTCGAAAAATGGAAAGTATGTGTCTTGAGCCTCCAACGTTCAATCAGAGCTAAAATCAATGTCGAGTTACCTTTAAATCACATAGAAATATGGTTAGATACAACCCAGATTGTTGCAGATATATAATATCTATCGGTGCGGATCTCTCAGTATTCCTCGTTGACGAATGACTCATTCTTCTTCTAGACCGAGTTTAAGCAAAGAAATATGGACATCATCAAGGCGTAACATTTCATCTCGGGTAGATATTTTTCAGGAATTTTCAAAAAAATATGAATTTATCTTAATTTTTTCCTCAGCAAAACATACTAAAAACCTAAACTCCAAACCCCAATTTATAACCCAACCCCAACCACTATAAATGGTTAGTTTTTTTAAAAAAAATATCACGAAACTTGTCATGATGAGGTGACGAGTTCTAATGTGCCCATTGCAGCTGCTTGTTGCCCAACGACTATAAACAACTAGTTTTTTTTAATTCAAGATGAACTCATCACCTCTACTTGACGAATTCTGTAGTTTTTTTTAAATAATTATATACAAAATTTAAAAAATGAATATAAATTTCCTACGAGACTCGTCACACCGACTTGAAAAGTTCGAGTAAATATATTAAAATATTGACACATATGAGACCCATTTACCTAAGACCATTAAAAAAATTATTATTAAAAAATTTCATCACGTCAATATGATGATTTACACTTTAACATTTGTAGTAGATTGCAAAATAAAGTTCTGGGTCGCCTATTGGCCAAATAATTTTGACGCCTGCCATTTTGGGAAAAAGAACCCATTAAATATAGCAGCAGCTTCAAAAAAAAAATTATTTTTGGGTGGGGGTGTGATCGGCTCTTAAAGGATTGAAGGACAAACATGAAAATGAAGATTGAAGGACGTATGCCTAAGGCTTGGGATTGAATCTTTCAGTAGGACTTGGTATATATCTTTGCAGTTATACTTTCAGTCAGTGGTGACGGATGGCAATTCTATGTTGCACTGATACGGCTATACAAGTACAGGGACAGAAACGGGAACATTCTTGGTACGTATCCAAGCTGTATCCTTTCCGTACTCATGTTGGAAATGTATTGGGTACTTGGAATTCCTTGCAATTATGTTGACATCCATGGATATGTTAACTCTTATAGTCTTGTTTACAGGATTCCGACTGTAGATAGAAATAACAATGGATATCTGGTGTGTCTGAAAATGGCCAACTTTCATGTAGAAGCTCGGGCTCTCTTAGCACTATGACTGGAAATGGTGCTTTGCTTGCTGAACTTTGACTCGTTAACTTGATCTGATTCGTTTAACCAAGTTCAACCTGAACTATTAGACTCGAGTATCCGACCCATTTGATAGAAAAGACTAAAAAACTTTGGCCAAACAGTAAGCCGTTGTTTAGTTTAGGAAGATCCTACATAGGAACACAAAGAAACACGACCAGCTGCATTACATTGCACTACAACTGAAGTCTGAAAATGTCTTAACATACAACAATGGAACTATACTGTTTGTCCCAATAACTTCTGGGGCCTTAAGACAACAATAAGAACCAGTACCAACATTTACCATCCAATCCATTATTTATCGCTTCCACCAAACAGGTAATCCAGGGAAGATCCTCCACCGGGTGCGGCATGAACCTTTGTTGTAGGTCGATCCTGTTTGCATAAATTTATCAACTTATTTAATGTGGCCTTAAGGCAAAAGTTGTATCACAACCAGAAAATATAGCGCAGTATCGAAATGATACATTCCAGTTTGTTATCTCCTATAATTCACATGAGATTTTTATATACAAGCAAAGGTTTCACTTGATCATAAGACAGCTACTGAGCCATGACTTATGTTCTATTACAAGACTAGCAACCCCTAAATGGCTGCTAAAGAAAGGAAAATCAATGTAAAGTTGTCCACTATCTAGCCCATGCTGCAAAAGCTAATAAAAGAGGTCAACCTCCCAACATATGTTACTTAAACTCGGGTGTGTGTCAGAAAAGAATATGTGCCCGCCATGGGAATATTTTCATGTATTTGGAGGATCATATCCCTATAATCATGTACAAGCATGTTGGCTTAAATACTTGATGAAAAATGAAGAGTCAAACCGATATAGCTTCCAACAAGATATAATGATTTCAAAACTGAAGGAAAAAGAGGTAGGGCTGAGGAACGAAATCGAGAAAATCGAGAAAATCGAAAAATCGACACGAATCGAGTAAAATGGTTCGGTTCGGTTCGGTTCGGTTTGGCATTATACGGTTCGGTTTAAAGGCTTCATTTTTTTGATTCGTTCGGTTCGGGTTTTCCATATGGAACCCATTTGTTTCATATTGAACCGAATAGGCACTTTTTTTAAAAAAAATTATAGTTTCAAGTGATTTTTTCATTGAAAAACCGATAAACCGAACCGTTAAAAAAACGGAACCGAATCAAAAAAACCAGTTTTGATTTTTTCAGTTTTTTAACCATTCGGTTTCAGTTTAAATATTGAAAAGCCGTTTATTTCGGTTCGGTTCAATTTTTTGTAAAAAACCGAACCGAACCGAGCCGAATCCTAGGGGTGTATTCGGTTCGGTTCGGTTTTTTACCAAAAATTGAACCGAACCGAAATAAACGGTTTTTCAAAATTTAAACCGAAACCGAATGGTTAAAAAACCGAAACTGGTTTTTTCGGTTCGGTTCGGTTTTTTTAATGGTTCGGGTTTTTCGGTTCGGTTCGGTTTATCGGTTTTTCAATGAAAAAATCACTTGAAACTATAATTTTTTTTAAAAAAAAATTGCTTATTCGGTTCAATATAGAATAAATGGGTTCCATATGAAAAACCCGAACCGAATCGAATCAAAAGAATTTACACTTTAAACCGAACTGAAAACCGAACCGTATAATACCAAACAGAACCAAACCGTTTTACTCGGTTCGTGTCGGTTTTTCGGTTTTCTCGATTTCGTTGCTCAGCCATATCGAATACACCCCTAAAAAGAGGTGTTCTCACAAAATCCCAACATATTATTTCCAACTATTCCAAATCAAAGATTTATCTAGGAGCTTGAGCATTGGACCCAAAATTGACTGTATTTATGTTGCGATTACAATTATATAAAAGCAGACGATGACTGCTGGTCTCCAGATAAATAGTTCATCACAAAGTTTGTCATCAATGTTTCAGTGACAGCTTTACAGGTAGCTTCCAAGATTTACATTTTCTGGATAGGAAGATTGTCAAGAGATAAACTATATAAAAGAACGAAAATACCCGGCAGGGAGAGAAAAACTTCGGAGGCCTCTAACTTTTAGTACTCAGGATGCAAATGGACAGTTAAATTTATGGCACCCTTTTTTATTCTCTTTCTATTTTCTATTGTTAAATCAGAAATAGAAAAATATATATCATCATTAATGAAAGTATGATACTAATAATCTAGAAAATTAAGCAAAAGGTCATCACCAATTCAATTCAGAGTATTGTGTGGAACAACAGCAAACATTTGATCAAACATTACTAAACTAGCAACTAAAAACAATTGTGATTAGGGTTCTACCGTAAGAAAGTTGCCAAAATTCTGGCCATCTGCACGGAAATAGTTGTTTGCCTTGTTTCCAGGAATGCCTGCAGGAATCTCCTTAGCTACACCTGGTGGTGGTGAAGCAGCTGCGGGCTTTTTTGGTGTTTCCTTGGCAACCTCATTCTGTGTTCGAGGAACTTCATTGCTTGTGCCAGTGCTAGGACTGAGGTGGTGGGTTTGGGAGCTTCTCCACGACCCATGATCTCTAACTTGGACTTCTAAGTAATTATTAAAGGAATAAATATTCAGGTAAGTAACGTATGAACTATAGATATGATTCATGAACTTCAAAAGTAGTCATTATCTATGTTAAACTGGTCATACCCATGCCCAACAAGTATCTGAACATGGGTTTATGATTATAATCCTAGAAATATACAGGGAAAGAGAAAAGCTAAGAAGAAGAATATACGAATCGGACAAATCCATATTAGATACTCTACAGTCATGTGAGTCCAGGTAACATAGCTCGTTATCATGTACGGTTTTCAAATTCCAATTCCACTATCGAGATAGAAGCAATACTTGCAGAAATGAAAGGGGGGAAATCTGAAACGAACCTACGTACATTTTAAACAACTAAAACCTCAAAGATAATAAAGTGCGATTCTCCCATTTCATGCTATGAAACCCAAAAGAGATGCAGCTTAATAAAGAAAACATCATTGTTTAAACAACCAAGACTAAATTAAATAGATCATAAAGAGGACAAAAGCAAAAACCTAAATCGAGATGGATTATGATCTCTCACTCAAGTGACTAAAGATCTAATTAACAAAACTAATCACTGAAAAAAGATCTAAGCAAAGAGAACAGCAATTACATGAATGGAGTCCAAAAGTATCATCATTGAGAGAGAAAAAAATCCACATGCATAACGTTTATCATACAATATGAAGTTAAAAATAGAATAGACTGAAGAAGGTAAGATTTTCACACAATTTTGCATGAAAAACATAAGAAAATGGAGGATTTTCTCAAGAAACAAAGGAGGGGATCCCACGCAAATAAATTTAGCTTAGCTTTCTCACTAAACTTTGATTGCTTGGGTGTTATTCGGATCAGATCTGAACTCCAACGCGAAGGAGAGATTTCTGATTCAATTAATAGGTGGGCCTGCCATACATTTGTCAGGTTTAATATGAAATATATATTTGTAACATTTTCTCCAATTCAGCAGTGAATGTTAATTCCATTTGTAAAGAAAGTCAATTCGGTCTCTAAATAGTATTTACTTTTGAGTAATTGTTTTTAAGGAAAACTTTGAATTTTTTTGGTAAGTTATATGTACGAAACTTATTTTTTATTTTAATCATTATTTTTTTAAGTTTTTCAATTAGACTACTTAAATATTTAAAGTAAAAATACACCTAAGGTTCCTGAACTTTCAAAAAATATATATATATATAACCCTTGTCCTATTTTGTGGATCAATGTGACATTCAAACTCTAAAAAAAATTAAATGTAACTCTTTGATCAACATTTTTCGTCATTGTTTTCTGTCATTAACTAGCAGTTCTGTTAATTCCTACGATTATAAATTGGGTAAATTACATCATTCATCACTCAGTTATTTTTTTTATTTTGGTCACTAAACTCTAAAAATTTTCAATTTCAAAGATCCTAGAGACTAGAGAATAAGGCAGTAGTTAACCAATTTTATTTAAAACACTGATAACTCCGTAAAAAGAATATTTTTTTGGGTATTTTTACTTAAGTTATTGATTGTCAAAAGCTATTGTCATAAGCATTTTAGCTGCATTTAGGGCATTTCATTATATGTGGTGGAAAGTTTTGATGCAGCTAGTTTTTCTTGATAAAATTGATGCTATTGATGAAAAGGGTTGTGTGTTGGTTGTGATTGTGCAGATGATGGGAAATGACCAAGGAGAGAATTATTTTCCATGACAATTTTAAAACGAGGGCCAAAGGAACTGATGATGATGATGACCATGATGAATTTTTCACCACGACAAGTTTTTCTTACAAGTCTAGATGTAGTACAAGATAAAGTAGCTGACATCGTGTGACCAACTGTCTAATGCAACTCACGTGAACTCCTTGCTTCTACTGATAATTTGGGAGCACTACTAGCTGCCATGACATAAAATTCTTAGTCTTTATAAAAGCTATTCAGTTATAACTATTTTTCTAAGAGTAGATACCTAATATCGAGACAGTTAGGTTAGATCTATGTGAACAAGAGAACTAATCCGAGATTGTGAGGTTCTAATCTGCCTTCGAGATAAGAAGAGAGTTTCAAGCGACTAAAAGGGATAACACTTAATCGATAGGCTAGGGTCACAATTTACGTTGAGAGGTATTATCGTGGCAATAGTTTTATCTGGTTCTTTACAAGAGAGAGCATATGAACAATTCTAGTAAATTCTATTGGCCAGCATAGGCATAGCGTACTTAGATCATCTTAGACATAAATTTCTTGCCACGACACAAAAATTCCTATTCACTTCACTTCACAAAAATTTCTTGCCATAACAGATTTTTTCATTTGTTCATACTATCTGCCACATCATATTTTTCTCTTGTTTATATCATTACACTTAGACACTTAGGATTAGTTAGTGACACCTAATTCCTAATTATAGCTTTCTTTAAAGAATTCCTTCAATCCCTATGAAGACGATACTCATCATTCACTACTATATTACTTGCATCAGTTGTGTATACTTACATACATTTGCATGCCATAAAACATACATTTTCACGCAATCAAGTTTTTGGTACAATTGTTGAGGATTGTCAACTTAAGGAAATTTTTAAAGTTTTTCCATATGAAGTTTTTCTTGTCACATTTTTGTTGTAGTTTTACTTGTTTGTTTTCTTTATTTCTTTTGTAAGATTTATCATTGCATGACCAGGGGATCTTGTTTGTTTTCTTTATTTCTTTTGTAAGATTTGTCATTGCATGACCAGGGGAACTGTCGGAGAACCACCATTACCCGTTAAACCTGAAATCGAGCAACTTTTTAGACAAAGGCGATGTGCTTAGCATGGCCAAAACAATAAGTATCGATTACAAGACCAAGGATGTGACCAAGCAAATCCATATGTTGTGGCAAATAATATTCCCATAAATACTGCAAACCACGTGCTATGCGAGATCACTTAACTCCTATTCTTAATGATCTCAATCCTGGAATCGTGGCACCCAAAAATTTAGGCAGCCCAATCTGAACTTAAATCGGTGATGTTCAATATGTGAAACTCGATCGACCAATTTTGTGGCTCGCCTAATGAAGATGCTAGGCAACAAGTATGTTCTTTCCTTGAAGTGTGCGACTCTTTTAGACAACAAAGAATGTATGAAGATGAGTTGAAGCTAAAGCTATTCCCCTACACTTTGCATAACCGGGCAAGATCTTCGCTTAGTCGAGTCCAATCTGGCTCGATGAAGTCTTGGGTAGATTTGTGCAAAACAATTTTGTTGCGGTATAATCCTCCCAATATGAACAAACAACTTCACCATGACAAAACAAGTTTTTTTCAAGATAATGATGAGTTAATGTATGGGTGTTGGGACCGATATAAGAGTTTACTTCGCAAATGAACCAACCATAGATTCCACAACTGGACTCAAGTCGTGATGTTCTATAATGGAGTCAATGCTCCTACTCTTATGATGTTGGATGTCTCGAAAAATGATACTTTGCTTGATAAGTCACATGGGGGGAAGCTTTTGATATCCTTGATAGAATATCCAACAATGATAATCAATTTCCCTCTGCAAGGCTTGGAACTGAGAGAAAGACACCTAAGGCATTTGAACTTGATGCTAAAGATTATGTCTTTGCCTATCTTTATACCATAATAAATATATTGAAAAATCTGCAACGTTCCAGCGAAGTGAAAGAAGTCAAGGCAACTAGCTTGGCATGTATTTTTTGTCGTTACAATCACCATGAGAGTGAGCGCATTGATAATCAAGAGTCTATTAATTTCGTGAGCAATTTCAATTGAAATAAAAATCACCCTTATTCTAACGCCTACAACCCTGGATGGCGTCAACATCCTAATTTTTTATGGGGTAATCAAGCGGCTCACAATAACCATACATGTAACTTAAATAGGTCACAGCAAAATATTTTTGAACCTTCAAATTTTAAGCATTAACATATGTTGTGGCAAAATAATAACAAATGTTTAACATCTTCCTCAAATGCTAACTCCCCTGAAGCTTCTCTGCAAGATTTTATAGCTTCGACCAGAGATTTCATGGCTTCAACAAAGGCCTTGCTACAAGAACACTCATCAATAATTAAAAGCCAATGTACACTTTTATAAAGACAAGCAACCTTATTGCAAAGCCATAACTCATCTTTGAGAGCGTTGGAAAACCAAGTGGGCCAAATTGCCACAACACTATATTCTTGCCCACAAGGAAGCCTCCCTAATGATACTGAGGTCATTAAGCCTCACGAAAAGGAGAAATGCAGTACGCTTACACTAAGGAGTGGTACCGAACTTAATCAAGAAAATAAGTTTGGGGGAAGAAGCAAGAAATTTCTTGCCACGACATTGTACAAGAAGAATATGAACGTCTAGCTAAACATGTTATTCAATAGGAATTGTCTATGAAAAAAGATAAGGATGAGGGTTCAACCAGTTTCACCCTCACATGCAGAAGATGAAGTCAGACCCCCACCACCTTTCCCTCAATGGTTGAAGAAACATAACGATGAGATCCAGTTCAAAATGTTTGTTGATGTCCTTGATAAGCTATATATCAATTTCTCACTGCTCGAGGCCATTTGTAATACCCCAAACGTAGGGTCGGTGACTATAATGAAAGGATTTTAAATTTGGAGGATTAAATTAAATAAAATGTAAAGTATAAGAAATGGTTTAGGAAATTGTGTTTAAGACTATTTATAAAGAATGGAATAATGGAATGGCATTTTGGTTACTTAGAGGGAAATGGATTTAAAATTCATTTTACTAGGGATATTTAAGAGTTAAAAAAGGGAAAGTTGGATAAGCCAAGTTATCTTCTTCTTCTTCTTCTTCTTCTTCTTCTTCTTCTTCTCATTCTTCTCGTCCCGTGCTCTCCCCATGGCTAAAGGTAAGATTTCTTCAAGTTGGTTTTTCCTTTAGTTTATGGGATGATTTTAAACTTTAAGTGATACAGAGTCTTAAAGAGAAGTTAAAGGATTATTAAAACTAAGTGATTAATGAATTATTTGAGATTCAAGAAAATGATTTTTTGAATGATATGATGAAATATGAGTTTTTGTTGAAGTTTACAAGTAAATTTGACTTGTCAAAGAAGTAAATAAGAGATTAGAAGCCTTTGAAGTGATTAAAAACATGTATGAAAAAGTAGTGTGATTCCTGGGTTGGAGTGTTCTTTGAAGATTTTAGATGTTATAGGAAGATTAATGAAGGAAAGTTAGTTTGGTTTAGTATGGATGAGTTTAATGGTATTGTTGGAAGTAAAAGTAAGAGAAAGAAACGAAATTTAGGTAAAAATCAAAAATCAAAATGGAAAATCTAGGTAAGGGTATCGGTACTCAAAGAATAGTACCGATACTATAGGTTTAAATTTGAGGAAATAGGATGAACAATATCGATACTGATGCAATTAGTATCGATACTAAGAGGAAAGTATCGATACTATGGATTCCAGAATGCAGAAATGGTATCGATACTGAAGGGAGTATCGGTACTATAGTATAGAAGTATCGATACCATAGTAGGGGTACCAATACTATTGAGCCTGAAATTTTAATATAGGATGAATTTTAATAGAAATTGAAAATAATAGTACTATTAAGTATTATTAAAAGTATAAATGTTAGAAAATATACTAATATTTGTATGGTATGTGTAATTAATGGATGCTTGTATAGATCGTAAGCAAGCTAAAGAGTCAAGCAAGAAAAAAGGCAAAGGTAAAGTTGTCGAATAGTCGGACATAATTACAGCATACTAGTGAGGCATATCAGGTGAGTGCATTTATTGTACTTCTATGAAATGAGGGAGACTTGCGCCGAGTTAACCTCGAATGTTTTGATAAAGCATGTTTTACAGTACTTTGATATGTTTTCATAATGTGTATAGAAATGATATTACAAATAAATTTTAGAGTATGAACTGCTCTAAAAGGAATAGATAAACGTTGAAGTTATTCAATGGTTATCAATATTGTAGAAATAAATGTTTAAATCTGTGAAATTGACTTAAAAGACCATTGTATGTGCATTGAGAGTCGTAGGTGCATTTCGACATACTTCGTGTATGATTGTATCGATCGATTTTGTTTAATGCATAACAGTGCATTTTCGTATAAGTACTATGTATACTTTTGGCACTATATGTGCAATCATGGTATTCATAATAGTTTGTGAATTACCATTTAAATATACAATAATGTATATAAGTTATCGCTCGATTTTGTTTAATGCATAACGGTGCATTTTCGACACTAAATATACAATCCATGGTATTCATAACGTGTTTATGAATAACCATTTTGGCACTAAATGTGCAACCCATGGTATGCATAATGTGTTTATGAATAACCATTTCGGCACTATGTGTGCAATCTATGGAATTCATAATGAGTTTGTGAATTTCCATTTCGATACTTTGGTGTAATCCATGTACCTTGCATTCTCTTTTGATATACATTGGGAAAAATAAAGGATAAATTAAAAACTACTGATGGATAGGTATGTTGGGCATACTAAAGATAATTATCATGTTATTTGAATGAAGATTGGTTCTTCAAGCCAATTTAATGTATTGATATGAATTATATGATGTTCATTCGTACTTTTATAAATTGTGATATGTTTATATTTAAGTATAATTCATTTTTTATTATTATGCCTCACTAAGTAAATACTCAGCAGAGTAAGGAGTGCAGTGAGCATCATTAATTAAAGGTTGCCTCATCAGTAACTGTAGGATATTTATGTCTACTTTTGAAAATTATATGGCATGTATTTGAACTTATGAAAATACTTTGGAATGTTTTAGAAGTTATGTGACACCTGTGACTTGTGTACGGAAACGTATCCAAGAAATGGGTGTTACATTTATTGGTATCAGAGCTACAAGTTTAGCTGATTCTCGGCCAAAATTGAGTTTATTTGACTTTAAAAATGGTTTACATACCACTGAGATTGTCAAGGTTACTGATATGATGTCATTAGAATATGATTGATGTCACTTCTTACTAACTTGAGTGTTATTATTATGTATTTCCTAATAGATGTCAGAATCTTAGAACTCGTGAAGAGCAGATGAACAACAAATTAGAGAATGATTGGGTAGCGAGAGCTATGAAGTTAATAGCGAGCATTCGATTCCATCTGAAAACGCTAATGTATTGGCACAGTAGGGTATGCCCGTGCTAGAGTTTGGAGCTTTTATGCAAGCTCTCGATGCCATTTTGACTCGGTTCCAACCTCCTTCACCTCTCTCTACTCCTCCAGCAACGCGAATGTTGATCCCAAAAGAGCTAACAAGTTTGGGAACTCCTGAGTTTTGGGGAGAAGAGGATGAAGGTCCTATAGAAGCTGATTTATGGCTAAATGATGTTATGGTAATGCTTGAAAGTCTTCACTTCTCAGATTTTGAAGAGCTGGGTGGAGCTGTATCTTTACTTTGATGATCAACTAAAGTGTGTTGTCAAATACTACGATGTATGCACCACCAGAGCAAAAGACCTGCCAGTTCTTTCAGGAGGAATTTAAGAACAAGTATATTGGTGATAAGTTTAGGCGGGCGATACTGCTGAAGTTCCTTAATTTGAAATAAGACGATCGAGCAGTGCATGAGTACGAGGTTGAGTACAATAAGCTGAGTCGTTTTGCTTCTGAGGTAGTTCCCAATGAAAAGGCTCGACGTGTTTGGTTCATCGAGGGTTTGAGGCCAAAGTACAAAGAGATGATGTTGGCTTTAAACCTGTCTAGCCTGGAAGAAGTTATAAACTTAACTAAGGCTATTGAAAGAGATCAAGAAGAGACTCTAGTAGCGGAGCAGAGTATGTAGATGGGAAAAAGAGTTGGAACGTCTTCAATTTCCCATCATGCTAAGAGAGACAAGGGTTCAAGTTCCCGATATACTGATAGAGATGGTTTTGTTGTACCTTCACAAAAAACTAAACAATCACAGTCTTTTGCTGCTAGCTCGAGTAGAGTATTTAGAGATAACTACTCTATGTCAAACATATGGAATTTCACCGTGAAGTATGTAGATTTCTCAGTGGACCTTGTTTCCAATGTGGTGAAACTGGTCACTATGCCTGAAAATGTCCTAAGAAATCTGGGGATAATTCAGCGCAATCTGAGAGATTGGTGGTAGCTTCTAATAAAAGCAGAGGCAGATCTATAGGATAATCAGATTCATTGTCGTGACAAGAGACTCAAGGAGTAGCTAGAATTTACAATATTAAGACTAATGAGGGTTGGGATGACCCAAAAAACTTAACAGGTACATTCCATCTTTTTGATGAACCTGTATTTATTTTCGATGACCCTGGTTCTACACACTCATACATTAGTACAAAGTTGGTTAGATTTAGAGGAATTCCTTTAGAACTAATTTTTAGTGAGTTTATAGTGGTAAACCCTATGGGTCATAGTGCAAGAGTAACACGGGTATGTAGAAAATGCTCGATAAAGATTCAAGGGGTTATGTTTCTGACAAACTTAATAGAGTTGCCCTTCGATGAGTTTAAAATCATTTTGGGCATGGATTGATTGTCTCCACGTCATAGATGGGTTGATTGTCGCAAGAAGTGATTATTTTTTAAGGATGCGGAAGGCTTAGAAATCGTAGTGATTGGCGAAAAATTAAAATCACCATCCAATGTGATATCAACCATAACTACAAAGAAAATGATATCAAAAGAGTGTATAACTTTCCTAGCTAACGTGGTAGACACTCAAATTTCGAAAGCGAGACTAGTTGATGTTCCAACAGTTAGGGAGTTTCCAGATGTTTTTCCGAAAGAGTTATCGTGATTACCTCTAGATCGAGAGGTGGAATTTTAGATTGTGGTTTACCCGGGTACAAAACCTATTTCTATGGCTCCATATCGAATGGCTCTAACAGAGTTAAGAGAATTAAAAGCCCAATTACAAGAGATACTTGATAAAGGATTTATCAGACCCAGTGTTTCTCCTTGGGGAGCACCTATGCTTTTTGCGAAAAAAAGGAATTATTTATACGATTATGTATTGACTACTGTCAGTCAAAATAAAGTAACGATAAAGAATAAGTATCCTCTTCCGAAGATTGATTATCTATTCAAACAATTGAAAGACACAACAATGTTCTCTAAGATATACCTGAGGTCGGGTACTACCAATTAATGATTAAAGAAGAGGATATTTCAAAAATAACTTTTCGGACTCGGTATGGACATTACGAATTTGTGGGAATGCCATTCGGTTTTATT